GATTTTGAGTTGCACCGCAGTTTTGCCAATATACTAAGCAAAGATTTAAATAAGGCCAGACAAATTTATGAAAATTCCTTGTTGAACAGAGGACCAAAAGCAGTGTATAAATATACTAAACGCAAACTGTGTTCGAAAATTTCTTTGCCTACTGTAAAAAACAACGATGGTCATTGTTCTAAATCCAACTCTGAATCGGCTGAAATACTAGCAGAATTTTTTGCCAGTACATATACCAGTGAAGACTCTCAAAATGTACCTAATTCTCCCCCGACATCATCGTATCTTGATACTATAGAAATAAATGAAGCCATAGTTTATTGTGAGCTATTGAACCTTTCTGAACATAGTGCCCCTGGTACTGATAATATCTGTGGTTCTTTCTTAAAAAAATATGCTCTGCAATTAGCCAAGCCTCTTGCTCACATAATGTCCCAGTCTTTACTTTCAACTTCTTTACCGTCCGACTGGTTAAAATCTTCTGTCACACCCATTTTTAAAAAAGGTGACAAAACTGATCGTAAAAACTATCGTCCTATAAGTTTGACTGCAGTTTGCTGTAAATTAATGGAACGAATTTTGTGTAAAAGAATAATTCATTTTGCTATTCATGAAGGTATAGTACCTGACGAACAACATGGCTTTCTCCCTGGTCGTTCCACTGAGACATGCCTTTTATACTGTTTAGATAAATGGACCAAAGCTATTGACCGTGGTGATTCCGTTGATATTGTTTATATAGATTTTCAAAAGGCATTCGACAAAGTTCCTCATCGAAGGCTAATACACAAACTGAGAGAGTTAGGTATTAAGGGTAATCTCTTGAAGTGGATATCCGCTTTCCTATCTGAACGTGTCTTTTACGTCAGAGTTGGTGATTCATTGTCCAATAATTATGCTGTAAAATCTGGAGTTCCTCAGGGATCCGTCCTAGGGCCTGTTTTATTTGTTCTTTATATATCTGATTTAAGTCGTCTTCTAAAATCAGATCATGCCTTTTATGCGGATGATCTTAAAATTTTTAACTATCCCAATAGTAGTTATAATATCCTAATCGAAGACCTAAATACTGTGCTACAATGGTGCGATCTGTGGCTAATTCCTATTAACAAAGAAAAGTGCGTCATTCTTCATCTGGGTGCAAAAAATCCATGTTTAAACTATCGTATTGGCAACGATCTCATCAAAGCGGTTGATAAGTATGTAGACCTTGGTATCACGATTCAAAGCGACCTCAAATGGTCGCACCACTCTTTAAAAACTGTTAAAAAAACAAACATTACGATGTATCTGCTTCGAAAAGCCTTCCAAAGTCTATCGAAGGAGTCATTTCTGACATTGTATAAATCTTATGTTAGACCTCAGTTGGAATACGCATCTGTTGTCTGGTGTCCTTTCTTACAAAAAGACATTGAATTATTAGAGCGAGCTCAAAGACGCGCAACCAAAACGGTCGCCAGCCTACATAACCTTCCGTATTCTCAGAGGCTCCAAGAACTAGCACTTTGCACTCTGTCCGAAAGACGATCCAGAAACGATTTAGTCTGGACATTTAAAATTTTGAAAGGTTATCTTGCGGTCGACTTGTCACCTTTATTTAACATCAACAGTGACGAACGTCTTCGTGGTCACAGTTTAAAATTGCGTCATAATCAGTACAAAAGCAAGATCCGAGAAAACTTTTTAAGTAATCGAGTATTTACTGCCTGGAATGCCCTACCCGCAAACGCTATTAATTCTCATAGTATCAACCCATTCAAAGCAAAGCTACATTAACAGAAGATAATAAATTGTCGCCATTGTAAATTACGCTGATTACAATTTGTATTTCTCTGTTTTAGTAAAATCGTGAGCTTAATAGGCACTGCCTCAGCTCAAAGTATAATATTAATAATAATATTAATAATAATAATATTAATAATGAATCTTGACTTAATCAATAAAATAAAAAAATTAGTCGAAGGTTGTTTCAACAGAATTTCACTCACATCTGAAACACAATGAAACTATAAAAAACTATAATACTTATTTATTTTTGCGAATTTTATTTTTTATGAGAACACCTGTGAGTTTAAATAAACATATGTAATATGTATGTAATGTTAAAGTAAATGTAAAGAAGCGTGCTACGTGTATGTTTCAAATTAGTTTTTAGTTTATAAAATTTTGTGATGACGTCATCAACATTTTTGCAAGGACACGTATATCAGTTTGGATTATGTGCAAAATAATATTAATAATAACAATATTATATTCCCACATATTCAGGAAAATGAAGTGAGTCGTTCCTGATTTAAGTAATAAAATAAACTGACTCATTCATTAATTTTTTTGAACCATCTGTATAAGCAAATCTAAAAAATAGGGATGGAATGATAAATCACAGGACAAATTCATCATATTTTGCACATTTTAGGTAGGATTTATTAGGCAAAATTTTGAGGTAACGTCATCATTTTTTAGGGATAAGCAAATATATTTTGATCAAAAATTTACCATACTTATGACAATATTGAAACATCTGCAAGATTTCAAAGCATTCAGTTCAGATTCAAAAATAAATTGCAAAACGTTACACACTTTTCTTTTTTTTTTTAAATCTGGACATTTCGGGTAAAAACTCAACACAAATTCATAAACTACATATACAGGATTATGTTATTTTACACAATTTAAAACCCATTTACTATGTACAATTTTGAGATGACGTCATCACATTATTGGTGGGGATGATTAGACAAAATTGAGTTAGCGTTTTACCATGTACGAAACCCATTTTTTCGTGTTCTAGGTCTACCAGTCGCCCGATATACTCGATTACAATAGTTCCTTAACTTACGCTCTGAAAGTAAAAATGTATGGGTGCATTGATAAACCACAGGTTATAATATTTTATGCACTTCAAAGAAGATTTATTTGGCAAAATTTTGAGATGACGCCATCAGTTTTTGGGAGGACGTAAAAGAATAAATTTGGATCAACTATTTACCATGATCACGGTAACTTGAAAACGTTTGCAAGATTTCAGAACATTCGGTTTTGGAGTTAAATTGCAAAATATTGTTACACAATTTTGACTTTTTGTTCCAAAAATCTGGATGTCTAAGGTGAAAATTCGACATAGATTCATATACCACAAATGCAGGAGGATTTTATTTTATAAAATCGAAAAAAACAAATAACTGTGTGTAGTGATGATTAGCCAAGTTTTAATTACGTTTGATCTTCTATAAATATCATTAATTCAATAAACAATTCAGTGTTGTTGATGCGGTTTTTTATAATGAAATGAATTTGAACACTCAAAAAAAAAAAAGTTTTATAACAAAATTACCTACGTTATTTTCAAAAACAATAAAAAGCACGGACCTTTTTTGACGTTTGGAAAAAAAAAAAGAATTAATGTTTTCCATGTACTCAATAAAAAAGTGTGCCTTTGTTTTATAGAAAGTAATAAAGGAAAGTCATGTTGGCAATATTTGGTGAGATCTTTCTGAATTTAATTGTTTTTGGTTGCGGCAGGCTGTTAACAACCTTAGTACACAGCTTCCTGTAAATTGTGGAACCTTATATATTCTCCTTAGTGGAGCAATACTTGTTAATTCGGATGTTCCTTTTATCACCAACAAGTTTTCTTACACTCAAGCACTGATAAGTTCTTATAAGCAGGGTCGAGGCGAGTGACTGCGGCTCGCCGCAGTTGCTTCACGGGCAAACGGGTTTAATCCTGTGATATATAAATTTGGTCATTATGGCCAGTTTTGAATTTCCCTCGAAAGAGCAAGCGGTAGTTCTTAACGCTACCGATGGCTTAACTTTAATTGATTATGTTGCTGCTATAGGTAATATAGTGACAGCAAAAAATGTTTTGTTCGCTTCTAAGATGTCAAAAGATCGTGTATGTATTTACCTCAGTGCTAAATCCTGGGTAGATGAAGTGGTTGATAATCATCCAACTATCATTATTAAAGACCAATCAGTCAGTGTGCGCCGGCTGTTAAATCCAGCACGTCGCATTATCCTCTCTAATGTTTGCCCATCCATCCCTCACACTGTTTTTGAAAACCAAATTAAAACTTTTGGATTTACTCCTGTCTCAAAAATGTCTTTTCTCAGGGCACGAATGCAGAGTGACGAATATGCCCATGTATTAAGTTTCCGCCGACAGATATATGTTCAACCTGATGACGTGGTCGACCTACCATCCTCGATAGTCTTAAAATACGAAAATACTAACTACCGGGTATTTTTCACGTTAGATGATGTTTGCTTTAAATGCAAATTGGTTGGTCATTTTGCAAACGATTGTCCGAATGAAGTGTTAAATGATAATTCACAGGCGTCTTTTAGCAAACTCTGTGAAACTGTGGCAGGAAAACGTCAAACAACAGACGACGCGGCTGAAACGGAGGCAAGTCCCTTAGATCTGTCTACAATAATGGGAAATAATAACGGGAAATCTAACTTAAAAAAGCAGAAAGTTAACGAATCCACAGAAAGTTTGACGCCACTAGAGGACTTACTGGAACCCGCCAAAGATCTGATAGAGAACAGTGTCGCCTACCCGTTAAATTTTGATCAAACCGTTGCTTTCATGAATAGCTCCTCGGGAGAAAGCGACATACTAGCATTGATCCACAAACATACGGAAGACATTCAAGGCGTAATCAATTTGCTTTACGACGTATACGGAGTTGTTGATCACAAAGGAATTAAGAATAAGTGTCGTAAGATCCAAAGAAAAATTAAGAAGGCCACTGAAGGAACCCTAAATTTGCGCCTCGATGTACCGACCGAGTTATCTGGCTTGGCCGGCAGCTTACATAAACCTGTCGACTAATTTTTCATGCCCTCCCATTGGTGGGATTCTGAAGGTCTCTTTCTTCAGGTTCTTGCCTACGTGTGAGTGCGAATACCATTGTCTTCTTTTAATATTATCATTCAATCACAATACAGAATATTTCACTGCTTCACTAGTATACTCCAACATCGCGTCACTAATGGCCAAATATAACGAGTTTTGTGCTCTAGTTGCTACTGAATGTCCTTCAATTATTATGTTGAGTGAAACTTGGCTGACTTCCTCGATACCTAGTGGGATGGCCTTTTTAAATGGTTACACGTTATTTAGAAAGGACCGAGCTGAGAGAAAGGGTGGTGGTGTTTGTATTTACGTACTGGATCAAATACTCGCTGACTTCGTGGTGATTCCTTTGGATGCAGACACGGGAGGCATTGAATCCATGTTCTTAAAATTTTATAACAAGTCTTCCACTTTCGTTCTAGCTTGTATCTACAGACCTTCTACGTCATCGTTACACGATAGTAGGTTTCTGTTTGACTCAATTTTTAACATTACCAACACCTATGTAAACACATTCTTCTTTGGTGACTTTAACCTAAGTGAACTAAAATGGCCTTTAGATAATCGTCTGTCATTCCGCGATTCTGCCCAACTTCTGGTAAACTTACTTAATGACAGCCGCCTAAGACAGCTTGTAACCAAGCCTACAAGATACAGAACTGGTCAAAGTCCATCCACCCTCGACCTCATTTTATCTTCTGACAACACGTCACTATCCAATCTAGATTATCTCCCTCCTATTGGCATCTCAGACCACGTGACATTAAAGGTGGATTTGCAGATATGCTCTATACCCTCTAAAAAGAGGATTGACACATTTAAGAGGTCAATTACAGATTATAAAGCTATATGCAGGTGTTTAAATAAGGTCGACTGGAATAATTTATTGAGTGACCCTTCAGTCTCTAACAACTGGAACTCGTTTAAAAATGTTATTAATGTTCAGATAGAACAACACACAACCACCTCTTTCGTTAAACGTTCTTCTAAAAAGCCCTGGATCAACAACTCTATCCTAAAATTAATTAAAAAAAAACGAGCTCTATGGCGTGCATTCAAAAGAGCAGGTCTCGAGGCTGATTATAAGAGACATAGGTCTTTCTCAAATCGGTTGTCAACTATAATTATAGAAGCCAGAATAACCTATGAGAAATCTATAGCTGATAGTAAAGACACTAAGCGGTTGTACAAACACATTCGAACTCAATTATCCGGCCCAGTTGGAACTAATTTACGGATAAAAGATGACACGGGTACAGTGGTTAATAGTGATATTGAGGTAGCCGACTTATTTGCCAAATCTTTTTTAAAAAATTTTCGTACAAGAACCGCCCAATGACAAAATGCCTAGCATCCTTGGAGTACCTAATGCAGCTGTTATCGATGATGTTCTATTTTCCAGTGACGCTGTCCGTAAAAAATTAGATAAATTGAAGGTGTCAAAGTCACCTGGCCCTGATTTAATCACAGCTAAACTTCTGACCACATGTTCATCTGTTCTATCGTATCCTCTCAGCATTCTGATGAGCCAGTCCTTTAATTCTAGTTCTCTACCTGCTGACTGGAGAACAGCAACTGTGCGGCCTATCTTTAAAAAGGGAGACAAATTTGATGCTACCAATTATCGACCCATAAGCCTGACCTCCCTGATTGTCAAAGTCATGGAGTCTATTATTTACGACCGTGTTATTAAATTCTTCGTGGATTATCAACTAATACCCTTCCAGCAGCATGGCTTTCTTCCCGGTAAATCTATTCAATCAAATTTACTCTGCTGCCTATCGGATTGGACGAAAGAAATAGACGCAGGCAACTCAACTGACGTAGTGTATTTAGACTTTTCCAAGGCATTCGATCGCGTCCCTAAGCGTCGATTGTTGCATAAGCTTCAACATCTTGGCTTAGGAGGAAACCTGCTAAAATGGATTGGTTCTTTTCTTTCTGAGAGAACATTTCGAGTTAAAGTGGGAGATGCTTACAGCCGTCCTTTTGAGGTTATGAGCGGAGTTCCCCAAGGTTCGGTACTGGGACCATTACTCTTTATAGCCTATACTGCCGATCTTAAGAGTAGCTTGATATCACCTTTTTCCATGTACGCAGACGATACCAAATTGTATAATTTAAGCTCACAAAATCAAATTCTTAAACAAGATCTTATAAGCATTCAAAAATGGTCCAGTGACTGGCTACTCCCACTTAACTTCGATAAATGTAATGTCCTTTACATTGGTAATAAGAATCCCAGAATGCCGTATTACATGAACGGTGAACAATTAGTCTCCTCTGACTGTTGTCGTGACCTTGGTGTTTTGGTAACTTGTGACTTGTCTTGGTCTCAGCACATCGCACATGTCAGTAAAAAAGCCAATTCGACACTGTTCCTTCTGAGACGGGCATTCCAAAAAAGTAGTCCTATTGTCTTTGCCAAATTATATAAAACATTTGTAAGACCCTTACTAGAATTTGCGAACAGTGTATGGTCGCCTATTTTACAGAAAGACATCCTTTTGCTTGAATCTGTCCAACGTAGGGCTACAAGAATACCGTTTGGTAGAGTACGGCCTCAATACCATGAAAGACTCGCAATAATGAAAATTCTAACTTTATCAAATAGACGCGTAAGAGGTGATCTTATCACGACATTTCAAGCCATGTCCAATAAGTCGTCTCCGATACACAAGCTCTTCATACTTAGTTCACATACTCTTACTAGAGGACATTCTTTTAAATTGGCTAAAGAAAAGTTTAAGACTACGGTACGGCAGCACTTCTTGAGTAATAGAGTTTTTCAGCAATGGAATTCTTTGCCGGAAGAAATAGTCAGTTCACAATCAACAATGGCTTTTAAAATTAAATATGACATTTACAGCTCCCAATAGAAATATTGGGTACTTCCCACTAACACGACGGCGCGGGCATAACAGGCGTAGACCTCTGCCCGATCGCCTAACATAATAGATCTCCAATTATTTGTAAGAAAAAAATATAATGGGTGGTCTTGAATAAATCACTTGCAAAATCTGTGTTTCATATTATGTTCATATAGTTTGTTATTGCTAAATCCGCAGTCTCTATTGTACAAAGAAAAGTCCCGCAATCCTAATCTTGTTACATGAAATCCTATATAATCACGAATTTTTTATATCGAATCACGTTACGAATTTTCGCAAGGAAATATGCCTAAAAATGCTCTTATTTGTAATTCTTATAAACAGCTAAGCTAAACGTGAATAAAAATATCAGTACAGGAACGTTTTTTAGTCATACTAAAATCAGACAAAGATATACTTTCAATATTAGCGCGATTTTTATTACATATTTTATAACGAAAATCTTAATAAATGAAATGAAACTCTGTTCAGCCTCGTTGAAGAAATATTTGCATCTGTGAAATATATTCCAGAACTAAAGCAATTATAAATTATTGCATGACTTTTAAAAGATGGTACATAAAATTCTAATTCAGTTCAGCCTCGTATAAGTGATTCAGAACTTTCTTGGGAATGCAAAGATGCTGGTTCTTGATATTTACAATAGAGTTTTTGTCTACTGTAATCAGGTCAACTTTTTTTGTGTATCTCATTTGACAATACATTTTACTAACTACTTAATTACGTTAAATACATATAATCAGACAGTACATGGTAGGTGGATCGAGTGTGTGCAGCCATAATTCATACGTTCCAAAGATATTAATCTTTTGGTGTTAGGAGGGCACATATAAACCGCTAATCTTCCCCAGCTCAAGTTGTAAATTTTTATACCAAGTAATTGCGGCGGATAATAAAATCTTTTTAAAAGTATACGTTACACATTCAGTTAATACTAATATTGCGAAGATTTGTTTCTTGGATATTCATGGTATTAATAAATGTACTCGTATTGGGACTCACTGGAAATATAACTGTTTTTGATTTAGTAAGTGCCGCTACTTTGCAAATGAACCATAACAGATGCGGATATGTTAAGACGAACAAGCAATGGGTTTCGAGTAATCCTTTGTCATTAGCCATTACCAAACTTCGGCTTCGCGGAAGTGATGCTCATTGCCGTCCGATCGCCAGCGCTATTGCAGTTGTGGCTTACAACTTCGTGAATTCTTAATAACAATGACTATTTTTTCTAGGTTTTCCTCAGTTATACGAGTTTTCCTAGATGTTAAAATGCTTTAAAAATTAAAAATGACTGTCCCACATCACAATTTTCGTGATGATCTTGATCAGATAAACCCTCAATTGCATTAAACGCCACAGTCGGCCAGCCAAATTTATCGCCTGACGTCGGGCCGTCATTTTTAATATTTGTCTGATTGATTCCCCATCACTTCGGCTGTGCCTAACTCTGGTCATTATGTAATAGACGAGTGACCCTACCAAGGGCTGGTACTGAAATTAGTCGAAGCTTATTTCGACAGAACTTTCTTCGCCCCTGAAAATACAGCCCACCAAAAAAATCTCGTTTCACTGATTTTTGTTTTATGATAACTTCCATAAAGTAAAAATCAGTGGCGTAAATAATACCCCGTATCCCCTGCGTCGCGGGGTACTCAAATTCTAAGGGGGCGCCATCCGAACAAGTGCGGACGGTATGAAATATATTTAAAGCAGATAACCAACGGGGAAAATGTATTCTCAGGACATCTTTAACTTCGACAGTTTATGTTTATATTTCGAAAGCATTCGACTATTACCACGTTTAGATAAAAAGTATCAGTGGAACATCGGTGTTAAAAAAGAATGAAATGTTGTTATGCCTTGTTATCGCAATGCGACATTTGTAATCGAAGAATGTTTGTATTTTGTAACCACTTGTAACCAAGAATATCTGGCCAAAAACCGTGGTTTAAATTCAAGAAACATCATTACAGGCTCACATTAGAGATGTAGAGATTTGTTCGAAAAGGCAATGTTAACAAAGGGAAATTTGGAAGTTGTTGATGATTTGAGAAGACTTGAACAGAATCCGCAATCTTTGACAATATTTCCTCAGCAGTCAGGAGTTCCTGTTGCAACATGAAACTGAACAATGGGTATTACAGAACATTTTTGAAATTAAAAAGCGAGTGAGCATGTACCTTGAACAAAATGGTGAACATTTTCAACATTTACTGTGATGTTTAACCTCAATAAATTTGTTTCTTTTTATTGCAATGAATTAGTTTTATTTTTTAATAAGATATGAAGCATTTAGACAACCAGTTATACAGATGCGTGTGGTCTTTGTCATGCATCCTTGGGCATTTTGTAAAGTTCAAAACTGAGAAACGGCACATTTTCATGACCTACTTCGAAACTATAATCATTTATAGAAACCCTGTACATAAAATAGGTATGTTATGCTTTTTTTTTATTATTTATATTCTCATGTTTTTGAGTTTAGTTGTTTTCAACTATTGTAAATACTTTTATTATTGGCACAATGAAGGTTATTTATTTACATATTACTTGCGATAATTAAAATTATCTAGTAAAAAATTAGCAGCTAATTTTATAATGACTGATTTGGCAAATAAACATTAAAATAGAATAAATTTTGTTTTTAAAACCAACCTGTGTGGAAATACTTATTTGGAATTTCGTAACACCGATTTATTTAGTCTGTACTCCAGTTTAACCTATGTAAGAATCACATTCCGTTTCAATAAGGCTGTGCGCTGCTTCATTATATTCTTGATATTCGACACTATTTGGATAACATCTATCTAAATAGATGGATTGAATGTAGTGGCCCAGATTTCTCGACATAACTCAGTTTTGTGGTTAAAGTCGAGAGTATATCAACGCAAACACCGGAATACAAAGTATATATAAAGTAAGTACATTGTTTAATACGGTTTAACGAATGTGTATGCAAATATTACTAACAATGAAGACATTTTCATAGGAACTTCACCGGAAATCGAAGGTGCAGCATAAACAGCAGCTGCTGTAAGTAAGGCGAATGATACTTTTTCGGAAAACGTTTTGTTTTCGTACTTTCGAAACTTGTATAATTAAAGTTTTAATTCGCACTCGTAGAACAAGCTTAGTACGTAACACGTTTATAAAACTCTCGACACACTCTTTTTGTAAACACTAGCTTCGCTCAGATCCGCTCATGAATAAATAAACTCGTGTCTAAAGAGGCGTTTATAGAACTTCTTCGATATAATAATATACTATTTTATAATTTTGGTCTTTGTCTATCAGAATTTACGATATTTTAGCTACACAAAGTTTCAGTCCAAAATACATGACAGTGAAAAACATGTACAAACAAAATTTCATATACAGTTAACAGTACATATTACCAATTACAAGTATACAAAAAATTGCTATGATGAAATTTTTGGAAAATGTT